TATATATATATATATATATATATATATATACATGCACGCTTATTCCTGCACAACATCCTGGGAATGGCTCGGATTGGCCTGTTCATTCTTAGTTTTAATAACTCAATATCTAATGCGAATTTTGAAAACTGATACATGACTTTTTGTTCAGATTGACTCAATCTAAATTTACACTTTGATTTGGTCAAAATTGTTCAGACACTATGTATACGTAGATATACAAATTTCAAAATATAATATAATTGATTAATAATTGCAGGTATGTAAAGGAAGGCAGTTTACGCAGTGAGTGGGATAATAGTACTCGCGGTTTATGGTGTCCGTGGGCAATGAAAGCTAGTCAAAGAGCAGCAACATTGGTCGATCGCTTAAGAGATGGATGGCAACATTTGCTGAGAGATAGGGCTACTCGTAGTCTCACATACAACGATGAACAATTCCATGTTCTTGAACGCATAAAGGTAGCATACATAGATTTGTACATTTTGATAATCCACCATCGTAGCCATGATAGATTATGAGGAATCATAGAAGCAAGAAAGTTTACCATTTTCTTGCAATTGTCAATTCACTCAATTGCATCTAATAATTTTATCCGATAAACAGGTCACGGAAACGGGACGCCGATTGAAAGCACTTTTCGAGACAGAATGTATACCAGCAATGACGCAGCGATCCGAATGCGTCGCCGATTGGTACAAAATGGCACAAACTGTTTTCCTGCAAACTGAAATATTGGACAAAGACATAAATAGTTACGAACATGTGTTAGAATCATTTTCTTATCGTCTGTCACAAGAGAGTAAAGAATATCACGAAAATCTTTTGCTTTCGTTGAACAGGCTTCCCGACAAGTCAAAAACAATAGAGAAGACAAACTTGCCTGCGCAAGAAAGCACAAAGAAATGGCGCGATATCTGCGAAACAGAAGAACAAATCGCAATGCTTCTTTATGAAAATAGTCTAATTATAGATCAACTTAACAAGTTGTCAAGAATTGATGAATTAGAAGTAATTCGAGGAAATGTAAATGATTTAGGATATAAAGTTTAATACGTCCAATTTTGTCATTTCTCTATTAATTCGACAATATTGTTATAAAGACTGAATACTACATATTAGAAATATACAAGAAGGCTTATCGAAAATAAAAGACAGAATAACTTTTACAAAACTGATTTTTCGAAAAAATACAAAAAAAAATCTATAGGGCAAAAAACATCGGAATTAAACACTTTTTAGACGTCTAAAGACAATATTTTTTATGGTAAATGTGCTTTAATATTTTAGTTTTCCATTCTTTTTTTACATTAAAAAAAGAAATGCCTTGCAGAAACTGAAACGAGACATTCAGTACGTTACTACATAGTGTGAGCGGCAAGTGAATTTCATAATAGTCGTTTTGGCAAATGCAGAAATTTTAAATTTTATTATGGTTTATTTGACTGCGAAAAAGATTTAAAAAATTGCAGTTTTTTTTTGCAAATAATGAATGTGCTACTAATCGAGCTGTTCAATCAGCGACGTGCAAACATAGCATGCAAATAAGCATAATCAATCACAACTGTTTGAAATTAATTGCACAATTTCAGGACTCAGGAGGTCGATTTTATATCACGTGGTGTAGTGAAAATGACAAAAGTGAGCGAATTTACTAAAAATATCTATGATCTTATTGGTCAACAACTAGTAAATTTGTTCACTTTTGTAATTTTCACTACATTGCATGAATACAGAATCGATTCCCAGGAGATAAGATCTGTGGTCAATAAGTACTGATTCACAAGTGGCGTTTTGTAACTCACATTTGTAAATGCGCGTTGGTAATGACCATTGGGTTGCCTATTGGCGTACGTACGCAAACGCGCGGTTGTCTTTTTTTTTTTTTTTTTTTTTTACAAAACGCGCGCTTAACGCGGCTTTGAACTCCTCCAATGTGAACCAAGCCTAAAAAGCGAAATGTTCTGGATCTTATTGCTGTCGATCTTACATTGGCTGCTTTTTTTTTAGGAGACACAGTCGACATAAGTCGACACAAGAGTCATTCTGTCTTTGTTTCTCACTAAATACTGAACGAAGACAGAATGACTTTTGTCGACTTGTGTCTCCTAAAAGGAAAGCAGCCATTGCATCCTGCATTCCATAACTGATTGATATAAATTTAAGATAAGAACCAATCACATTCGATTGCTACTCAGTCGCATAGTGAGCGGTTATGCTATTAGAATCTAATGTTAGTCGAACCAGTATTCAACGAATTTTAAAATTAACATGACAAGTTCCATCTATATAAAAATAACGATTGCATGTCTTTAGAAACTCCTTACCCCCTTACGAAAAAGAACTACTGCCGATTACATATAAATAAAGTCAGTAATATAAATATTACCGACAATCACACAAGAATATTATTAGATATTACAGGAATCACTGAGAATATTACTGGCAATTACACAGAATGCCAGTAATTATTTCGTACCACTGCCGCAATATATTACTACCAGTAGTTCTTTTTCGTAAAGGCCACTAGTTAGATTATAAATTAATGAACATTCAATAGATAATACGAAAAAAGTGAAGATATAAAGATTTATGTTTTAGATTTAATATTATGTATCTTCTAAACAAATTAATGAAATTTAAAAAATCAAATGTAGACCCTTACGAAAAAGAATTACTGGCAGTAATATATTGCGGCAGTGGTACGAAAGAATTACTGGCATTCTGTGTAATTGCCAGTAATATTTTCAGTGATTCCTGTAATATCTAATACTATTCTTGTGTGATTGTCAGTAATACTTATATTACTGACTTTATTTATATGTAATCGGCAATAATTCTTTTTCGTAAGGGGAAGTACAGGAAATTGAAAGACTTTTCTAATGATATATTATTTGACCTCTTTTCTCATTCAAAATTTTTGGGCGAGTTGAAGAGAAATCCCGTTTAGAGAGGTGAAAGTGAGAGTGAGAATTTTATGTCAAAAGATGGTCTTCTAATAAAAATCGATGTTTTGCGTTTTTTTCAAAAAATCAGTTTTGTATGAGTTATTTAGTCTATTTAGTTTTCGATGGGTCACCCTGTACTGTATATATAATATATATATGTATATATATATATATATATTAATAATATACATATATATTTTCTATATTATTATATGTATACCCTTACGAAAAAGAACTATTGGCAGTAATATATTGCGGCAGTGGTACGATATAATTACTGGCATTCTGTGTAATTGCCAGTAATATTCTCAGTGATTCCTGTAATATCTAATAATATTCTTGTGTGATTGTCAGTATTTATATTACTGACTTTATTTATATGTAATCGGCAGTAGTTCTTTTTCGTAAGAGTATGTATATGTACGATTTGATGTATATAAAATCACCAAGATGTAAATGAAGAGATGATTATAGTTTTAACCTTTGACTTAAATAAATAATTAGTTTACTTGTAAAATAATATGATCATTTATTTTTAACTAGTTCATATTGCACATTTTCTTTAATAAATATCTTTATAGCAAAGCTAAAGACGTGTGCGCACGCTATAATGTATACAAGTTGAGTAAAAAGTTAACAATTCAGTCACACATATTATCATTTATATATATTGTACGTAATGTCATATGTACTTTTACGCAATTAGTAACAAACATGCGCTCACACATCTATATGACTAACATTCTTTTCGACTAAGGAATTCAATCTTTGTTTACGTTTGTGTTCTTTATGCTGTTCTTGAATTACGTGAAAGTGTAGCAATAGTTTATTAAAATCAAACGGACAATTAGCGTTCGTTTTCTCCTTTTCCGATTTGGGGATAGGTTTTGTAGCCGGAGGTATTGCTGCTAAACGACGTTGCAAAGTGGCGTAGGCTTCACTTTGTGGCAAGATCATAAGTAAACCATATAATGCGTATATCAAAGCATCGTTTTTTTCCCACTCCAACAAATGCAATCTTAGATCTTGAATAAGAAAAAAAGCAGTAAATATAAAAACAATATTAAAACAAAAGAAAAATTATTTTTGGCAATTGTTATCAGCAATTTATGGTATCCACATACTTACATGTAAAAATTGGTGATTCTATTAATTGCACTAATTTATCTATTTCTGTAAGAAATTCCACTGTGACTTCAATGTTTTCACTGAGAGATACATATAAAGATATTATGTTAAGGTTAAAGTTAAGGTTTTTGAACAATCAATGAGAGATACATATAAAGATATTACGTTAAGGTTTAAACAATCATTTTGTGTTCATCAAAATGATTGTTCAAATTAAAGTATGTGAAAAAGAATAAAGGATACAAAGATCGAATAATGTTGCACGCGTGTCGATAATGCTGAGATAGAAAACACAAGGCTACTGTTGCAACCGGATTATGACACCATGACACATACAAGCATTCAAATAATGCACAGCTCTCCTAAAAAATATTCCATTTGTATTCTATTTGCACGCAAGTAGAAATATCACTTGCGCAAAATTGTACAGAACCAAACAACTTACTGGAGAGTCCAAATGCCTAAGCTTGTTTCGTAGATCAAATAACTCCGAGCTAGTTAGTAAGATAACATTCAGAGTTTGTATCATTGTACATGCGAAACTTAGATTTTGTTCTTCCAATAATATCTTGGCTAGTGTCTTATATATATCCTCAGCACTCAAAAGTACACACAATTCTCTTATGATAAATGCGCCTCGTTCTTCTAATAAATGTCTGTCAGTCGAGAAAAGTCTCAATAAATTGACTATAAATTTTGTGAAATATTTATTCTGCATCTTTGTGTCAGAATCTGTCATTGCTGCTTCTGAGGATTTGGAACTAATAATCTCAGCCATTACTACTAGAGTCTGTTGCACGACTTCATCAGAAGTATCACTTAAAGATTTCATTAGTATTGGAAATAAATCCTCGATATGATGGAACATTTTATATGGAATGTTTGTGAATAAATGATGTATCCATTTTAAAACTGCAACTTTTGTTTGGACTGATACATAGAGTAAATATTTTGTAAGTACTTCCACGACACTAGCAAGATCTAAATTTTCATCTAGGGAACTTTGTGAATCATCTAAAAACCAAAACAAAGAATTTATATAATTAATTTATAAATTAATTTATTTGTTACAAAACGACATAAATCAACGACTTGTCAATTACCGTTCTTCTTTTTGAGATCTATATTATATTCTTGCTTTTTAGTTGTAATCTCTGTATTTTTTATTATTACTAATTCATTAAATTAGCATTTACTTGCGTTGCTGTTTCTTTAATACTCTTCCGAGTGTCACCATCGTAAGCCAAACATGGTAAAACAGCTACAAGAATGCCAGACATGTATGGAAGCATAAGAAGCCCAGATAATTGTACAAACTCTTTTATCCAAGTGATGGCAGTCAATTGAAGTAATTCGTCTGAACTTTGAGCATGTGTAATCAATATATTTATCATGGCTGAAAAATCCACTCTTGCAGGATTGGTCTTTATGCTGCGTAAAAATTCACCAAGAACAGTATCTGTAATTTTCTTTATCTCTGGTGTTGGATCTTCCAATATTCTGAACAATCCATCAAGTATTTCAGGCAAAAATATAATGAAATCCATGTTAGGCACTGCATCCAACATTGATATCCATGATATTGCAAATTGTCTACCAACTGGATTTTTAGTATAAATACGCTCCCTCAATAAGGGCATAAATCCAACTAAATCAAAGAGACCACTTTCTGTCACAATATCCTAAAATAATGCAAAGCTTATGAGATACACACACAACATACACACACACACACACATAGAGAAAAAAAATAATATAGAAAAACAATATAATTTAAAAAAAATTAAACAATTCTAGATAAAAAATCTACCTTCATTAATCTATCAAGTAATTCAGTAGCATTTTTTATATTCTGCTCAGAATCACAGGCCAGTTTACTAAGAGCAGCAAAAATATCTGTAAACTGAGGTAATACTGCACCTCTTGCTACTTTAACTACATTGTACAAACTCTCACAAGCATAATATCTGACTCTTAAATCTGCATCACAGAAACATGCCAAAATTGGATGAATCAAATCCTCTATGTATTGACTGGTATCCTTTCCAAGGCCAACAGCAATTGCTGCAAGACCTATTAAGCCACCTTTGCGTGCATGTGGATTCTGTGAAGTTGCAAAGTCTTGTCCAAGAACTTTTAACAGTCTCTTTATCTGCACAGTATTATTGTGAGCTGCAAACTCCTTCACCATCCTATAAGATTTAAATATTTTAATTATAGAACTGTGTTCTTAACAAAAAGATGTATATTTAGTTTTGCATATGTATTAGCACTATTATATAGTATTTTTTAACATTTCATGTGTTGTACAAAACACGAAAAACCCTTACTTCTCGATTTCGAGGGCGGCTGGTTTCCGTTTTTCATACAACTTATCATTGAGAGAACGAACGCATGCCGCACTGAGGGGCGCGTAATCTCTCTCGGACAACATTTTTTACAATTTATTAATACTAATCTAATAGATTCCCTTAATTGTTGAATAACGTATATCAAAACATGTCAAAATCACAATAAGTTTTTGCTGCTCTCATATATACAATACTATTACACTTCTACTACTTCTTGTTTACTTATATGGCGCACGCCCCTGCAGAGAAGAGGTTTGGTTTGGTTTGGTTTGGTCAGGGGGTTCAAACTCGCCTCTTGTGAGAAGGGGAACGTAGAGTCCCTGGAAATAAGAGTCTGGCCAATGTTGTCAAACTTTTCATTGGTTCTGAAACAAAATGGCGGAACCAATGGATAACGTTATAGCCACACATTAAATTTGATTTAAATAACAGTATGCCTGTTCATGGTGGTAGCATTTTTTGCTCTTATAATCTTCTCTTTCTTTCTTTTNCTTCAATGCCCGAATATATATCTTATTTTACGTATAAAATTGGTAATTTAAAGTAATATTAACAAATTAAAACAGCCAACTACGCAACAACCAGTCATTTTCTGCAAAACAAACACATAAATAAATTTGCAATTATTCTATCAAATTGTTAACAGAAGGTTAGAATGTCATTTTTTGTT